GCCCCAGAGAGGTTGTGTTTATGTTCTTTAAGAAATGCAGGTCACTAGAGGGTATTATGCTAAGCGAAATAAGTCAATCAGAGAAAGACACATATCATACATATGTTCTCACTGATATGAGGAATTCTTTTTTTTAAATTTTTTATTGTTATGTTAATCACCATACATTACATCATTAGCTTTTGATGTAGTGTTCCATGATTCATTGTTTGTGCATAACACCCAGTGCTCCACGCAGAATGTGCCCTCTTTAATACCCATCACCAGGCTAACCCACCCCCCCACCCCCCTCCCCTCTAGAACCCTCAGTTTGTTTTTCGGAGTCCATCGTCTCTCATGGTTCGTCTCCCCCTCTAACTTACTCCCCTTCATTCTTCCCCTCCTGCTATCTTCTTCTTCTTTTTTTTTCTTAACATATATTGCATTATTTGTTTCAGAGGTACAGATCTGTGATTCAACAGTCTTGCACAATTCACAGTGCTCACCATAGCACATACCTTCCCCAATGTCTATCACCCAGCCACCACCTCCCTCCGACCCCCCACCATTCCAGCAACCCTCAGTTTGTTTCCTGAGATTAAGAATTCCTCATATCAGTGAGGTCACATGATGCATCTCTTTCTCTGATTGACTTATTTCACTCAGCATAACACCCTCCAGTTCCATCCATGTCGTTGCAAATGGCAAGATCTCATTTCTTTTGATGGCTGCATAATATTCCATTGTGTATATATACCACATTTTCTTTATCCATTCATCTGTCGATGGACATCTTGACTCTTTCCACAGTTTGGCTATTGTGGACATTGCTGCTATAAACATTGGGAATCATGTACCCCTTCGGATCCCTACATTTGTATCTTTGTGGTAAATACCCAGTAGTGCAATTGCTGGATCGTATGGTAGCTCCATTTTCAATTGTTTGAGGAGCCTCCATACTGTTTTCCAGAGTGGTTGCACCAGCTTGCATTCCCACCAACAGTGTAGGAGGGTTCCCCTTTCTCCACATCCCCGCCAACATCTGTCGTTTCCTGACTTGTTAATTTTAGCTATTCTGACTGGTGTGAGGTGGTATCTCATTGAGGTTTTGATTTGGATTTCCCTGATACCGAGCGATGTTGAGCACTTTTTCATGTGTCTGTTGGCCATTTGGATGTCTTCTTTGGAAAAATGTCTGTTCATGTCTTCTGCCCATTTCTTGATTGGATTATTTGTTCTTTGGGATATGAGGAATTCTTAATCTCAGGAAACTGAGGGTTGCTGGAGTGGTGGGGGGTGGGAGGGATGGGGTGGCTGGGTTATAGACATTGGGGAGGGTATGTGCTCTGGTGAGTGTGAATTTTATAAGACTGTTGAATCACAGACCTGTACCTCTAAAACAAATAATACATTATATGTTAAAAAAAAAAGAAGATAGCAGGAAGGGAAAAATGAAGGGGGGGAACCGGAGGGGGAGATGAACCATGAGAGACTATGGACTCTGAGAAACAAACTGAGGGTTCTAGAGGGGAGGGGGGTAGGGGGCTGGGTTAGCCTGGTGGTGGGTATTAAAGAGGGCATGTATTGCATGGAGCACTGGGTGTTATACGCAAACAATGAATCATGGAACACTACATCAGAAACTAATGATGTAATGTATGGTGATTAATATAATAAAATAAAATGAAAAAAAAAACGTAGGTCATGGTATCCCCTGATTTTATAAGTCCCTCTCTGTCAGAACCTAATAAACACTCAGCAGTAACTGTAACAGCACCACCACCAAGGCCAGCAACAGGAAAACAAGTAGCTGACATTCCCTGAGCATTAACCTATGTCCCAGAAACTGTCCTTAGCACTTTATACATATTAGCCTATTTAATGCTTAAAATAACTCCTTGAGGTGTGCATACCTCTGTTATCCCCACTTTATTGAAAAGGAGACAAAGTTGTTGAGTTAATTGCCCAAATCAAACAGCAAATGAGTTTTGGAACTGGAGTATGAACCCAGGTAGTGGGGCACCCACGCTCTATTGTCCCACACTTATACTACACTTCTCAGTATTTGTTATACTACAATTCTGAGTTGGAAACTAATGAAACCAATGCAGGTTAAGTTAAATGGAAAAGGCATCTATTGGGAGGACATAGAGTAGCTCACCGAGTCAGTAAGAAGCCTGGAGAACCAGGCTTGGAAAACAAGCAGGACCATGAAAGACTGGGGAGCAGAGAACACAGCCGGATGTGCCACGGGAAGAGTGGTTATGAGGCCACTCCTGGTGCTGCCACCACTGGCTGGTGGCCCCTGGGTCATGGCGCTGTTGGATCTGCTGCCATCGGTGATCGTGCAGTAGTAATACTAATGAACGTCCTGACTGCATTGTCATCTTGGCATCACTCAGGAAGATTCAGAGGCCCAGGTAGAAGCATTTGCTTGATGGGAGTCCAGGTCACATTATACAAAGGCCAGTTTCCGTATATACTTTTTAATTGAATTGTTCTGGTGTACTCTGGGCAGAATAGTAACAAGAAAGAAAATGACAAACAACTTTCCATTGTGGAACTCTAAAGATTAAGGTACTTGCTCAGAAAAACTGGACCCTGTTATGTGGTGAAATAGGTCAGTAAAATGATTTGAGGAGTTGGCAGGTAGAGGATGAGAAGGCACTGGGTTACATATTTGTTTAAATCCAGTTACCCTCTGAGTGACCAGTTTGGATCATGGATTACAGAGCATCACTTGATGGCTGATGATTGAGTTATAAAATACATCTTTTTTTTTTTTTCCTGGTTAATTTTAACGGCAGATGAAGAAATTGCCTGGGTATCAAAAGGTAATAGTTTTTAGAAAAAGGCTGATGGTTTTGTTCATAAATATGATCAGGATCACTGTTTTAAGAATTTGTACAGATCAGACTTCACCTCAACAAATGTTGTAATAAAACATTTTCAAGCCTTATCTGATGACTCACTGGTTGTAAACACTAATCCATATAACAAGATTTTGGTCCAGTACAAGGAGTTGGGTCAGGCCGTGAATAAGATTTGGCTTTTATCACACAACACTTAATTGAAACTCATTTTCCTAGAATTCCGAGCTTAAGAATCATGGTTAAACTTTCTGAGTGCTTACAATCAGCCATACAATGTGTAGAGTATTTTGTATATATCTTCCCTTTTAATCCTCATAATAACCCTATAAAGTATTATTATTGACACTTCAAGGAGGGGACTGAGGCTGAGAGAATAACTTGCCCAAGGTCATGCAGGAAGGGATGGAGTTGGGTTTTAAATCCACATTAGTCTGACTCTCGAGCCTGCTTTTGATCGCAGCGCTGTACTGTGGAAGAAAAATCATTAATTAAGTCGCAGGTTAACTCTGGGTTAGCATTCTTGAATTTTCAGATCAAGAGATTTCCTTGTCACCAGTTCTTAGCGAACAGCTTTCTGTTTTTAGATTCAGTAACTCGAAAAATGTCATTCCATCCAAGATTCGTTCCCTGAGTTAAAAGAATATAAATTGTTATTGCCACTTAGTCTTTGCTGTCTTATACCATCCTCACACATGTTTTCATATTGGATGTTGGGTGAGATGACTTCTCATGATTTGGGGAGGATGGGCAGGGTGGCATCTGAGATCATCTATAATGCTCCAAACCACTGATTACTAGGGATTTGTGAAAATAGTCCTTGAAAAACCTTCTGTGGATGCCATCTCTTGACAGTGACAAACACTAAAATTTGCCAAACATCCTGTAATAGAATATTTGCTTTTATTTGTGTTCAGTTTTCACTTTGAGCTTCAGGTTAAGTTCAGGTTTTCTAGGATTGGGAAGCCAGGTTTTCTTCACCTTGTTATCATTTTCATGGTTTTGACAGAGTTTGCTGACTTGTGACTGATTTTTAGTCTTTTACATGTACTTTAATAAACCTATGAATTAAGGAAGTCTCATGTCCGCATTAAAAACTGCTTACCCTAACCTTAACCCTTATTGTGAATGTTTCTTTCCTGCTCAGTTTCGTCCATGTGCTTATATCCTACAAAATACATATACGGAGGAACAAAAAAGCCCTGATAGTCCTGTTAGTGTGGTAATAGCCCAAGTTCAAGGAATGAGTGCAGCTGACCTGATGCAGGGTCAAAGCCAAAATCCACTGGTATCATGACAGAAGACTATGTTAAGTAATTTTTCAAAAATTTCATACTCATTAAACTGATTTTGTTTACTAAAAGTCTGTCAGTTTTGTTTGAATATGAAATGTTTTCCCCCTTGATTCTTTTTGTGTGGTTGAGTATAGTTTTGTGGGGTTTTTTTTGGTGTATGTATATTTTTAATCAAGCTGCTTTCAGGGTGCAATGTGGAGCCCTCAAAAGCCAGATTTGGTACTGGGTTCAGGGGTTAATAGATTCAAGACTGCACCTGCGAGTCTCTTTACAACTGGCTTTGTGCACATACATCCAGCATACCTGGCTAGGCTCGATGCTTTTTTGTCAGATATTTAGACACATGCCCTGGCAGATAGTGGGGAAGGTGGTTATGTCTTTATTGTCATTAGCAGAGCTCTCAGGAAAGGCCTGCTTTAAATTCTAACAAGAGAACTTATTATGTGTGAATGGAAGAATTAATAAGGACCTGAGGGTTTTTTTTTTTAGTTTGCAAAGTGGGACACCCCCATATATGATAGATAAATGTCTCTTTTCTTGTAAGTAACTAACATATGGGAGAGGTAGAAATTATTTGTAATTTGCATGTCATTAGAACGATATTTAAAAAGCTGCGTGGCTCTGGACCTTGGGCAGGGGCTTAGAAAGTTCCATGGTAGCAAACTAAGCATTTCTTATAACGGGATGTGAACGGCAACAGAATGCTCTAGGCGATATTAAATTGGGGTGATTTTTAGAAAGTGACAAATGTTTTATGTTTCCTAAATCCGAGATGGGTTCTACCAGCTGCACAGGGCTGCCAAGTTATGTTATCACTTGCCTGCTTTGTAACTGCCTCAATTCCTTCCTCCCCCAGCCCTGTATGATGAGATTCGTCAGTTTCGCAAGGCCTGTGGGGAGGCTCATCTCAAAACCATCTTAGCAACAGGAGAACTTGGATCTCTTACTAATGTCTATAAAGCCAGTATGATAGCGATGATGGCAGGTAAGTGTTCTATATTCAAATGACGGTATCTATTGAATTGATGTTTTTAGGAGAAATAAGTAAGCTAAAATATTTGGCTCTTAGCTAAAACATGCTAACCACTTGGAAATTTGAGTGGGAGGACTCAGATATTTTGTGAATACGTGTACAGTGTGAAGTGGTCACAAACTTGGCTTTCTTGCACGTTTTTTGTGGCATTTCATCGCTGCACTATCCTTGTAAGACAGTAGATGGCTCTTTTGTTAGTGAATTGCCTTCTTGTTATTCTTTGATTATTCATTCATCAACATATGTTAGACAGGAATTTCTTTAACTCTGACTTAGTTCTCTCTGTGAATTTAAGTGTTTGATTTTTCTCAGAGATGTGTATCTATATGGGTTCAGGCAGCCTGTGCTTTTGTTTGTGTTAATTTTTCTTTTTAAATGTGGTACAGTATCATTGCTTTTTATACTTTGAAATGCAGGTTGACTTATTCTTCATCTCCTTGAACAGCAGGCCTGTCCATTCATACATCCAAGCTTGAAACCTGGGAGTCAGGCTTGATTCCTTCTTTTCCTCATCTTCCCCTAAACCAGCGAACGAGTCTGGAGAACTCTCCCTCTTCACTGTATCTAACACACCGTCTCTCCATCTGCGTGCTGCCTCCTCTGGCCATTGCCGTACCCCACATGGATCACTTCAGTCTCCTCACTGCTCTCCCCTGTCTCCGCTTTTGTCCGCTTCCAGTCTGTTTCCCACACAATTGCCAGAATGGTCTCTTAAAAATGCTAATTGGGTTTTGGTCCTGCTTGCTTAAAATCCTTCGGTGGCTTACAGTGCCTCTGGACCCAGCTGGGGACAAAGGAAGATACCTGTGCACGTGTCCACTTGAGCTCATATTTGCCAGCAGGGCACCTCAGAAGCCAGTGAGCTTTATGTAATCTTGCCACCAAAGGATTCTTTTAAAACATAAGAAAATGTGAAGGTGTAGAGCAAATGAGAGAGGTGACGGAGGGGAGCAGCCTTCTTTTCAGCAAGATGTGAGGGAAATTTAATTCACTTCCATAAATAAGAAACAACACACACACAAGGTCTTCACCAGAAGCTGCACTCTCCACCCCCTGCTCCCACTCTCACATCACTGTCAGAGAGTCAGGATCGCCACAAGGCTCACCCGGCCTGCCCACTCAAAAAACAACAACAAAAAATCCTTCGGTGGCTTCCCTTCATCGTCAAGGTAAAATGTAAACTCCTTCAGCCTGATTTTAAGAAAAGGTCCTTCTTAAGACTCTGCCTGTGCCTCTACAGGCTCCTCATTTTCCCTTCACACCATATGCTCCAGCTTTATGAAATTCCTCGTAGTTCTCTGCAGATGGTACCATCCAAACCTTTCAAGGCTTCCTACATGGTGTGCCCCCTGCCTGGAATGCCTTTTGCTCAAGTAATTCCTTCACATCTTTGGCTTCAGCACAGGTGTCCCTTCTTTCAGGAGTGTTTCCCCGACACTGCTTCCTCCCTCACCACTTGGTTCACTATCTCTTCTCTGTGCCCACATAACATTCTCTTGAAACCTCTATCAGATGACCTGTTCCACTATCGTGTGATCGAGTATTGAATTTCGAGGTGCCCTACCAGTGGCTCCATAGGTGGGTGAAGATACCTGACTTCTCAGGTCTTCAATCGGGGCCTCTGTTGTAGTCCGCCTCTAGATTTTTAGACTCGTGTACTTTTTGAGTCCTGTCAGACCTAGCCTCATTCTCTGGGACTCTACTGAAAATCAGCCTGCTGGGCATATGCTGTGCTCATTGCCCCTGTATCCAGATGATCTCTGCTCTGGTTGTCTCATTTCGAGCACAGTCTCTGAAAATCTAAGGTGAAGAATGGAACACGTTAAACAGTGGGTCATCTGTTATGTTGGCATTTCAAAGGTCCACAATAATAGAAGCCTCAGTGCAGCTCTTATGAGCCTGGGTGAAGCCCCCTGGAGTCCTAAGTACACAGGTAACTCCCTTTTCATGCTCCTTGCTGGGACAAGGGATGGTTCACCTAGAGTGCTGTGATCTAGGTCACAATGAAGGTATATTCATTCTGGGAGGTCAGCCAGCCCTGTCCTCCTCACTGCCCCTACTGCTCGTGATAGGAACGTGGTATTTAGGTCATCATGCCAGGAAGTCCCTCTTCTACCCTCCAGCCTACCCACCCACAGAAAAAAAAAGGTGAGTAGGTACATGCTCTCCCCTGTTTCTTCCTGTCTGCTTGGATCCCTGTCCATGTTATGTTGTTCCTTATCTCTTTCATTTCTTCACTTAAGCAGTGTCTGTTGAGTACTTACTATGGGTAATAAAACTTGTATTTGTGGTGTGCTTTACCAGATGCTTTAAAATAATATTCCTTAATCTGCACATCAACCCTGTGGTTGATGAAGAAACTTAAAAAGTGACTTGTCTAAGGTCACAAAGCTAATAGACCACAAAGAGTCATTATTTGAACCCGGGTCTTCTGGCTCCAGGAGTATTGCTTTCTCAGCTGTAACACAGCCATCTCCCAGGGCACTGTGCTTGACCTCATAATGAATTAAAGACATACACAGTCTTTGCAAGGTATAATAAGTGAAAGCATCCAGCATACTTCCTGGCCCATGGTTTCTGGTTCCTATTCTCTTAAGAAGGTATATAATAGAAAAGAAGTATGTTTTGAAGATAAAAATTTTGGACTAAATTTACATTTATATAAATTACAGCTCTACTTTGGCATTTTTAATTGATTTTTTTTCCCTTAAAAATCAACTGCATTGAGGTAAATTTATACGCATTGAGGTGTTAAGTGTCCAATGTGATGACTTTTTACAATTTGTATTTTTCATCATCCCAAAAATATCCTTTGTGCCCCTTTGCTTTTAGTTCCACTCTTTTTACTTCTGCCCTAGCTGCAATCAGTGCTCTGATTTTATCACCATAGACTGACTTTGCCGGTTTTAGAACATTGTATAGTTATACAGTATGTACTCTTTTGTGCTTGTTCTCCCTCCACCCCCAAGATAATAGCTGTGAGATCTATTCATGTTGTTCTGTGTATAAGGAGTTTGCTTAAGGGTATTCCATTGTACAAATATACTGAGTTGCCAAACTTAACTGATATAAAGTTCGTAATATTCTGATGTCTATAGGGTCTGTAGTTATACCTCCTTTTTTACTTCTGGTGTTGTCATTTTTGTTTTCTTTCCTGTTGTTTCTTTCTTTCTTTCTTTTTCTTTTTCTTTTTTTTGGTAGAAAAGAGTTTTGCTAGAGGTCTGTCAATTTTACTAATCTTTTCAAAGAGCCAGTTTTTTGCTTTGCTGTTTTATCATTGTCATTGAGTTAAAAATACTTCTAATTTCCCTTGTGATGTCTCTTGATGTTTAGAACGTTATTAGAGTATCATTTAGAATAAACCTTTACACTGGTGCCCCTAAATACATAAAGCAAATAGTAATGGACATAAAGAGAAATCGACAGAATGTTTAATTTCCCAGTATTCTGTACTTTTCTGGATATCTTATTGTTATTGACTTACAATTTAAAATTCTTTTATGCTCAGGGAATATCTACTGTAAAAATCTTTTGTCTTTTGAAATTGAAGAAATTTATAGGCCATTTTTATGGTATATTTAAGTATAAATATGCTTCAAGTGCACTTGAAAAGAATGTCATGTATTTGCAGATATTAGTGATAGTATTCTGTTAATATCAAGTAGGTCAAGTTGGTTGATCATATTTTTCAGATCTGGTTTTGTTTTATTTTGTTTTGGTCTACTTGTTCTATTTATTACCAAGAGGACAGGGGTGTTAAAGTCTCCAAATATGATTGTAGATTTGTCTACTTATCCCTTTAGTTTTGTCAGTTTTTTCTAAATGTATTTTGGAGCTTTGATACTAAGTATATACACTTTCAGGATTGTTATGTTTGTCTGTTGAATTAATGCATTCATTATGACGTGTCCCTTTTTATGGTACTAGACCTACCTGAATGTCTACTTTGTCTGGTATTAATCTAACCACACTAGCTTTCTTGTGTGTTTCTTACCATTTGCATGGCATATCTTTTTCCATCTTTTTTTATGAAAAAAATATATGTGTGTGAAATCTATAACCCATATTTGGATATATATTTAAAGCCATTTCTTGTAGGCTTTTTTTTTTATCCATTGTGAGAATCTGTACTTTTTAATTAGAATGTTTTGTTCATTTTCATTTCACACAGTTTTTGATATGATAGGAGTTAAGTCAGTTATCTTGCAGTTAGTTTCCTATTTGTTCTGATCCATTTTTTGTTTTGTTTTTTTCCTGCTACCTTTTGGGTTCATTAAATATTTGATAGCACTTCATTTTATTTTTTTCTGTTGGCTTTTTATCTACAGCCTCTTTGTACTTTTCAAGCACTTGCTCAATTATAATATGCATCTTTAACTTACCAGTTTACATAGATTTAATATTATTCTATTTACACTTCATGTATCATGAATGTAAGAACCTTAACAACAGTTGCGTTTACATCCTCTTTAGTCCTTTGAATTATTTTAGTGTTCTTCTTCCACCTATTTATAAACTCCTTAATATGATGTGATTTTTGTTTTAACAGTCATTTGTCTTTTAAGGAAATGAAAAGAAAACTAAAACTAGTCTTTTATATTTTCTCACACATACATCATTTCCTTCTTTATTCCTTCTTATAAGTTCTGCTGGTGACTAATTCTCTTAGATTTTGTTCCTCTGAAAATGTCTTCATTTTATACTCATGTTTCAAGGATTGTTTGCTGAATATGGTGTTCTAGGTTACAGTTTTACTCTTATTTCAGTACTTTAAACATGTCATTCCATTTCTTGGAATTTGGCTTTTTCTTGTTTTCCTGTAAGTAATGTTTCATCTTACTCTGGCTACGGTCAATTAGTGTTTTCTCTTTATTTTTCACTGATTTGACTGTGATGTGCTTAAATATGGTTTTCTTTGTACTTATCCTGCTTTTAGTTTGCTAAACTTCTTG